CGAATTACTTAACTAACGTATTAGAATCACGTATAGATAAAGTCTATATCAGTATTCTATTTGAAATAACCTACCAGCATATCATTAATACATTCTAGTTTTAAATTGTAGAACATGAATATGTAGTCTGAATTCTTCACATTAGTTGTGTATGTTCAATTCCTGAGAACAAATACAACAGGTATGTATTACTTTGTGATTTTAATTAAGTTTTTTTCCAGTTAATATCAATCCAATGATCAAACATCAACATTTATGTATAATGAGTTTAACTTTCAGCTAATTAAAATAATAATATCCGTAAATAAGAAAGTTTAAATAAGATTATTTTAGTTGAATTCATGAGTTGTTTGAAGCTAGACGACTATGGAAAACCTGAAATCACTGGACAGCCGTTTCGTCCTAGTATGAAACTCCTCAACAGTGCGTACACTAGGACGAAACATCCGTCCAGTGCTTCCAGGTTTTTCATGATGATCTAACTTCAATTGACTTATGAATTCAATTATGAAAAATTACTAAAAATCTCCACAAAATCCACCTTCTGATAATAATATTTTTTTGCTTTATTCATTTGAATAAATATAAAAGATGATTCATAAGATCAAGAGAAGAAGAGAAATGTACAAGATTGACCTAGTTTCATTTCTCTTTCTGTTATGTTACTTAAGAGATTCTTTTTAACTGATTGAAAATTGACATTAATGATCAATGTCATTGTTGAAAAGTAAAAAAAGATATTATTTCACCTAGCTCATTAGTGATGATTATGAAGAAATCAAGAGTTTGACCATTTTCTCGCATTGTTTAAATTAGTCATATAATGAATGTGTCATGTAGAAGGTGAGTAATGTAAATCTATAAAGAAGTGTTGTTTTAAGTTAGGATCAATTAAAACTGATCAGTAGTATATTCATTTTAAAAAAAGATATTCAACACAATAGATACAACAAATTTAGATTATAATCCAAAAATCAGATTTACTTTCCTAATCTATGTTGTGAATAGTTTTTTAGTTAAACAACTTTTGAAAACTAGGAAACAATGAATAGATGCTTCAATCTAGGAAGGACTCCTCAACAATACTCCTTCGCGACTCTATCGATGTAGATCGGATCCACGACATTCAGTTTCGTGGCAAATGTTTAATCGCCAAACCATCAAGTCAGTATTCAATAGTGAACACTTCCAACTTCCATTCATTTGTGATATTGTTCGATCACCTTATGTTCCTTGAAATAGATAACTATCTGACATCCAGTATAACATAACTTCATTTGTCACAGCCTTTTAATATAATTCCTAAAATCACATCTCAAAGTTAGCCACTAAGGGATATACGATTATTATAATCACAGCGGGATCGTAGAGACTGTTGCATTTTCTTAGTTTACATCATGGATTAATCTAAGTTAGTCAACCAGTGAAATTGGGAAGCACTGGTGAACTGTATCATCCTAGTTTATTTACACAATTACAAGGTGGGACATCAAAATTGGCTTTATGATACAAACTGAAATAAACTTGCTTCATTATGACAGCTTTGTGATTAATTAAGTAAGGATTAAAAATATGTAACCGTTGTTGTTTGTATTTTAAAAAAAATGCATTCCGACATCTAGATGGGTTGAGCCTATAGTCAGTTTTCGGAAAATCCATTTTGATTATATTGTACCTGGTTGATTAAGTGCTAACAGGATTCTACTCATCCAGTGGTTATCTCCTCCAGAAAGTGAAACACGAATGACCTACTTTTGTATTAAACACATAATTACGATACATTTGATTTACAACATATGAGATAGCTGTAGGTTATCAGTAAGAAAAATCAAAAAATAGAATTCGTGATAGTTTTATACTCGGTAAATATATGGAATTATAACTGACCAATCTTCATCATTAGCAAAATTAAAACCAACATTTATTCAAAACTTTTCAGTTCATTTGACTTACCAAACTGCAATGCGAAATTTTCAAACTAAATTTCCGTTTACTAAAGAGAAGCAGTTGAATTGATTCCATAAGGCTGGTCAACACAGTCGTATGTTGATAATAACACGAGTCTTAAACATGTTGTTAATTTATTCATAGAGGCCTTGGTAAATTATAAAGATTCAAGGGAAGTAAACTGAGCCAGCTGACGATCTGAATGTGTGATTATTATAAGAGGCCCTAAAGATTATAAACAGAAACCGATGGTGGCTAGCAGTGGAATCCGGGACATGCATTTCATCCTATTTGGGACTCGTCAGCTGGATGTACATGCGTCCCAGAGTTGATATCCACTCTGAGACTCGAACCCACTTCAGTTCGTTTCAAATGTCATAGCGTTATCTACTTAGCTAATGAGTTTAAATAGCCGCTAGTTTGTGCAATGGGGTGAAATTTTAATTCATTTTCGTACTGGTTGTTTGAATCTTCCTATTGATGTGGACAACGCGATGGTGTTTGAAGCGAACGGTAATGGGTTCGAGTCTCGGAGTGAACATCAACTCTGGGACGCAAGTACATTCAGTTGACGAGTCCCAAAGAGAATGAGATGCGTGTCCTGAATTCCACTACTAGCCACCATCGGTCTCTGATTTCATTGAGTGTGATTTAAGGCAACAACGAGGTAATTCGCACAGGATGCACACATGCCAATATGCGACTGATCAATTATAGTCCTAAACATCAATGGGAAGATCAAAACAAGCAATACAAAAATGAATTATGGCACTAGATATTGTTGTATTTTACAGTCTACATCAAAAAATAATCATAGGGAGATAACCATTGAAAACCAAGAAGCGTTTGAGAACTATTTCTTCCAAGTGAGGAGTTATAAGTACTGCAACTCAATCATTTCCAGCATTATGTAGCAACCTACTGATGACAGTGAAAAAATGTTGTACAATATAACAAACTGATTGTAGTTGGAAAAATAAACTACTGGATCCTGACTTTATGGTCCAAAGGCTGGGGTTTCACCGTGGAATCTAACAGTTTCAGGTTTGATCCTCTATTGCATCCACGATCCTCTTCACTGTGGAGTCTCATATTAAAACAAAACATCTGAACAATATATCTTGGCTTTCAGTGAATTTCAACTACATTTTTCAATAAATAATCGGAAGAGTTTTTTACTAATAATCTTAGCTCTTTCACTTAGAAATCTTGACATTATTCAAGTTACATTCCAATAGTAATCTAAAAATAACATTTCATTTAACGAAAACAGAAGTGTAAATCAAATAATAACAGCAAACACATTTATAATATTCTCTCCTTTTTTGTTTTTCTAGCCGAGATATTTACGAAAGAACCAAAAAAGTATATAGAAACATTTCATTGAACTAATACCTTATCCATTTGCATTGTCATCCCGATGAATATGTACGACAAAACTATATTTTTTTAAAGGGAGAAACATTAAAAAAACTAGTCATTACAAATTTGTATCTGATCAATAGTATACAGAATGTGAGTTTTTTGTTTTACAGGTAACCAAGAACGAGGTAGAAAGTGGAGATTAAGAAAATACAACATTGTACACAATACATCATAATGTTGTAGATTCACTTATCCAGATCCCAGCGGAGGAAGAAATCAGGAAGAAGCTCTGGATGTGGGTAGGACACACATTGAGGAAAACACACAACTGCGTCACAAGACAAGCCCTCACTTATAATCCTCAAGGCCAAAGAGGAAGAGGAAGATCAAAGAACAGATTACACCGGGAAATGGAGTTAGACATGAGAAAAATGAACAAGAATTGGATGGAACTAGAAAAGAAGGTCCAGGACAGAGTGGGTTGGAGAATGCTGGTCGGTGGTCTATGCTCCATTGGGAGTAACAGGCGTAACGAACTAATATTATTGCCACCTTTCCTACTTTTAAGATGTATATATTTACATGTAGTTGCGTTAGCAACGTTTCATATGATGGAACACTCGAGAAAGTTGAAACTGAAAATAAAATTGATAGCAGGTGTTCCAAGTTAACATTTAATAATTTCGAAATATTTCCCTTTGTTTTTTCACAAATTGATACACTTTTCATGTTAAAAAAGATAAACATACATATGTAACGGATATAGACTGTAATATCTTTTATAAATAACATTTAGTTTTCATACTAGTGATTACATACATTTATATAAGCATAAAGAAAGGACATTGATAATATACATATATTGAGATGATGGAGAAGATTTGTAGCTCAGGTGGATGATCTTGATGGAGTTTTGTTCTCTGAGCTGGATCCAGCTCAGTCTAGTTTGCTTCCTATTTAGTGGTAATATAAAGTGATCGGTTATGTAACTCCGTTTTTTGTTTTGTTAAGTACTTGTAATTGTTTTCTAAGACATATATTTAACAAGTGAAGGCCTGTCTAGTGTCCAATCATAAGTACACACCGTTTTAAGTTGCTTGTGTGTCCATAGACTAAAAAGTTTATTACTATCAGATAAAGGATTTTAGCAACATCATCTTTATTGAATGATCTAAAGTAAACTTTAGATGGAAGCTTACATGTTCTTTGTTTGGTTACTAGAGCCTTTCGACAGGAAGATTTCAACTTCTATTTTGTATTACCCAGTACTCATCAGTAAAATGTAGTGGAAATTTTGAATCATTTAATGAATCCGTAGGAACCGAGCCAGAATCATCAAGGGTCACAATTTGATACATTACTACTGACCCATCCAAATTACAAATGGTCTCCAAGACTAGAAAGTGAATGGTTACAGGTTCATATTCTTAAACGAAGTTATGTTACTTAGTCTTTGATAGCGAAATGAAAGGTTTGGATTTGAATCCTGTGAGAATTACTATTTTCTATGTTGAGAAAGAGGTACTAAACAATCAGCCCAGAGCTGCTTCTAGTAATCTAGCTTATTTATAACATATTCAGTAAAACTGAGTTAAGTTTACTCAACCAATACAAAAAACAGTCCGGTTTATTGATATTTTTTGTTCTTTTTCTGATTCTGTACTCGTTCTAAACGTTTAAATAGAACTTCATAAATCCCTCTGAAAACTAGATGATATGGCTATACTACTACTACTACTACTACTACTACTACTACTACTACTACTACTACTACTACTACTACTACTACTACTACTACTACTACTACTACTACTACTACTACTACTACTACTACTACTACTACTACTACTACTACTACTACTACTACTACTACTACTACTACTACTACTACTACTACTACTACTACTACTACTACTACTACTACTACTACTACTACTACTACTACTACTACTACTACTACTACTACTACTACTACTACTACTACTACTACTACTACTACTACTACTACTACTACTACTACTACTACTACTACTACTACTACTACTACTACTACTACTACTACTACTACTACTACTACTACTACTACTACTACTACTACTACTACTACTACTACTACTACTACTACTACTACTACTACTACTACTACTACTACTACTACTACTACTACTACTACTACTACTACTACTACTACTACTACTACTACTACTACTACTACTACTACTACTACTACTACTACTACTACTACTACTACTACTACTACTACTACTACTACTACTACTACTACTACTACTACTACTACTACTACTACTACTACTACTACTACTACTACTACTACTACTACTACTACTACTACTACTACTACTACTACTACTACTACTACTACTACTACTACTACTACTACTACTACTACTACTACTACTACTACTACTACTACTACTACTACTACTACTACTACTACTACTACTACTACTACTACTACTACTACTACTACTACTACTACTACTACTACTACTACTACTACTACTACTACTACTACTACTACTACTACTACTACTACTACTACTACTACTACTACTACTACTACTACTACTACTACTACTACTACTACTACTACTACTACTACTACTACTACTACTACTACTACTACTACTACTACTACTACTACTACTACTACTACTACTACTACTACTACTACTACTACTACTACTACTACTACTACTACTACTACTACTACTACTACTACTACTACTATTAATGATAATAATAATAATTATTATTATTATTATTATTATTACTATTGTTATTATTGTCATTGCTGGTATTTATATTAGTATCAGTCTCGGTACTGCTACTAATAATAATTCCATTAATATTAGTAGTAGTAGCAGTAGTAATAATAACAACAATAATTATAATTATAATAGTAGTAATATCAGGGTAACCGTTTGTGGAAATAATTCGATTTGAATCGTAGACTGTAAAAATATACGTGTGTCTATTTATTTATGTATATAGGTTTAGGTTACTAGGTATGGAATGAGACCGTTTTAATCGAGATTATATTTTTTACGGAGTTTCTCCAGAATATAGGTTTAATGGAACATGAATTTGTGAATTAGCCATAAGGTGTAATACATTGACTTAGTTTACCGGCTGATTAACTTTGAATATTTAGGTGACTAGTTTCTTGTTTCTTTTTATTTGCTCATGTCTATCTATTATTAACATCTATTCTGCATCAATCAAATATTTTACAGTATATTTTTTGTATGCTTCATGGAAAAATGATGTTTATTAATTTATTAGCTGAAAGGTCTTTTTATTCGACTTCTGCGATTTATTTTTGCATTAGTTAATGTAAAGTAGAAACTTTCTGAAAAGAGTAAGAACAATGATTCTAGCAGAATAACATGAATTCATTTTATTTCGTTTGGTTCTCGTCAGCTACTTACAACCTATGATATTTGAAATTATAATTACATAATGGGTTTCAATTACTTACATGAAAGTGTTTAGTCAGAAGTTATGTTTGAAGACACATTAGTATAGTGTAGTAAGTCCCAAATAGAACGAAACGCGCGTCAAACTGGATTCCACTGCTAGCCAGTATCCATCATTGCTTACAAATAGCTTGTGAATTAAGGTAATATCGAGGCATACGCACAGTATACACATATGCCAATAACAGACTGATCAACTGCCAGCTTAAACCTCAATGGGAAGATACAAGCCAAACAATACCAAGTGAATAGTATAGTAAGGGTGTAAATAAGTTTAATAGACTGGATATTGTATTTATATATCTTATGTAAAAGAAAATTCAACAACATTGATTGTAACAACAGTTCAAACGGCCAGAAACAAGTGATTACATAATGAGTAAATGCTGATAAGAATAAAATGAGTAATGCTCAGTTAATAAAATAAGATTATTAATCTGGAAGACAGTTGCAATAAAAACTCAATCATGTAATAATAACAAATGCAAAAAGGAGTTAAAAATTAGTTTAAGATGCAACAAAAGAATATTTGTTACTAAGGCAAGGAAAGATTAATAAACATCTCCTTTTGAACACATAAATCAGGTTTATGATGCCTGATAGCAATGGCTTCAGCTAACTTCAGAAGACTGGAGTTAGGCTGTCTAATAATTACCTTGAAAGATTGCAAGATATCGACCTGATGTCCTGAATTCAAGAGAGGTTTGGTGATTGCATTATTTAGAGCCGCTTTTTCTCTTGTTCTGAGGCTTTATGGAACATACTCAGAAAATCTATGAAATTCCCTCCTTTCTGTTCGGTAAATGAAACTGCTTTGGTAGGTACACGTAAATTTATTAACACAGTTGGCGGTAACATAAAAGAGGTGTTCGTCAACCTTTGATTGAGTTATTGAACATTTTGTCTTATACAGAATTAATAGTTTGGCTGCCTGGTAAGTCCTTGATAGTTCAGTGTACAGCCTCCTGATTATTGTGTTTGCGACGCCATCACCTTTGAAGTTGAGGTTTATTGATGTTAGTTTTTGATTCACCGTAATAACCTACGTCTTGTTTTCTTTAGGTATTTATATTTGACAATAAATTTCTGTGGGTAGCAGTTGTCTCTAAAGCATTTTTCAACGTTTAGCAATTCTTCTTCAAGTTTGTCGGTGGTACATATTCTTTTTGCTCTATAAAATAGTGTTTTAACCAAGGCTTTCTTATAACTGATCGGGCAAAAACAACAGAAATTCACGCAAAGGCCATTTCAAGTACTTTTTCGATAAACCGAACATTGAACTGTCCCGTCTCCCCTACGATTTATGGCAATATCAAGAAAGTGCAATATGTCATTCTGTTCATATTCCATAGTAAATTGTATATTAGGATAATTATTATTGAAGAATTCTAACAGGAGAGTTCCATGCTGTTTATTATTACAGACAATAAGCGTGTAATAAACATATCTGGAATTTTCCGTCGTTTTGTTAATCGCCTGTCTAAACACAGTGTTTTTAAGATACCCCATAAAAATATCTGCCATAATTGGACCTAATCGACTTCCCATATTTATATCATCGATTTGACGATATATTGTATTATTAAACTGGAACTGAACGTCTGTTATGCACATTAGTAGTAGTTTTTTTTTAACTCTGGGGCTGGTAAATGTAGGAGATCATAATTCTGATAAATTATATTAATAGTTTCAACCAAGATACGAATAAATCGAATGGAATCACTTCATACTGACAGTTTTTTTTAAAAAAAAAAGATGATTAGACTGTATTCATTATATTGATTAAGAATATCATCAATAAATCAATTAATCAATTATTTTGTATAACTCATTTAACACTCATACATATAAAGTTATTATTGATTTAAAGATTATCGATTGTATTTTCTTTTAAAATATAATGTAATTTTAAATGAGTGAAAATGAACGAATACATATTTCTTACTGTCAGTTTATTCTGCTCCTAGAAAATCCTATGCTTGACTTGAAGAGTAATAATTCCCTGAAGATGATAAAACTATTTTAAAGAATGATATTATTCACTTCAATTCTATTTTGTTCACTTGTATTCATTATATTGATTAAAAATAGAATTATTCAATCAATCAATCAATCAACCAGTAAATCAATCATTTTGTTTAACTCATTTCAGATTCATATATGTAATGTTATTGTTGATAGGTAAGTAGATTATCGATTGTATTTTCTTTTAAAAAACCAATGTAATTTTAAATGAGTGAAAATGTATCATAAAAGATAAATTCTAATATGTGAAGTGGTTAATTTCTTATAACAAGAGAATACAAGTTCAATGTTTTATAAAACATTAGTAATAATAGTTTATAATAAAATCAATCATGTATTTATTATAAAATAAAGAAAATATAGTCCATTATTGAATGTTTAATAGACTAGATAACAACTAAGTATCCATCTACAAACAGCTTAGTATTAGTATACAGAGATTGTTGCAAAATAAATAATCAAATCGACCACGCTTTCGATTTATATACATATAGAGTAATAAGATTATTGTGATAGTATATTAGAATAAATGATGTATAGGTAAATGTTCTCAATAATTTTTGTTGTGAATTTATTTTCAGCTGATTTTTTTTTTACGTTCTCATTCACCTCAACCCACCCCACCTCAAGAATGCATCATGTATTTTTTGTGTACTTACTCACTTATGCCTGTTACTCACGATGGAACATAGGCCGCTGGCCAGCATTCCCAACCCACTCTGTCATGAGCCTTCCTTTCTAGTTCTATCTAATTGTTGTTCATTCTTTTCATGTCTGTCTCCATTTCTCGGCAAAATGTATTCTTTGGTTTTCCTTTCCTCCTTTGGACTTGAAGATTCCATGTGAGGGCTTTCCTCGTGACGTAGTTGGGTGCTTTCCTCAATGTGTGCCCTATCCACTTCCAGTCTATCTTACTGATTTCTTGCTCCACTGGGATTTGGTTTGTCCTCTCGTACAGTAGGTTGTTTCTGATAGTGTCTGACCAACGGATCCAAAGTATTTTGTGTAGACAACTGTTAATAAACACTTGTATCATGTGGATGATGACTTTGGTCGTTCTCCAAGTTTCCACCACATACAGTAGAACTGTCTTGACATTTGTATTAAAAATTCTGACTTTGGTGTTGATTGACAGTTGTTTTGAGTTCCAGGATGTAGTTCAATTGTAGATATGCTGCAAGTGCTTTTCCGAATCTTGCTTTCATATCTGCATCAGATCCACCGTGTTCATCAATGATGCTGCCCAGATATGTAAAGGTTTTTACATCTCTGTCAAGTGTGATTCGACTGGTCCATGATGTGCTGTATCGGAGAATTTCACTCTTCCCTTTGTGTATGTTGTACATGAATAATAAAATAACTTTTCGATCATTAATAATAATTCGGAAAACATAAACTTAATTATCTGTTCAGTGTTATAAGCGATCTTGTTCCTAACCTAGATGCTGACTAGATTTCATATTGACTTTGATCAGCAACTATAGATTTCAGTTACCATCTAAATAAGAGATATGTAATCATTGTTTTTTATGCTTTGTGAATAATCTGCATCCTTGAGTTCGTTCATGTCTCTGAGAAATACAGTTTTAACGGTAGTCAACTGAATATTTTCAGTCAAATCCTCAATTTGAGTATGCTCTGGCTGATCAAAAATACTTATATTGTTTTCCATTTGCTTAATTGAACGTGATATGAAGAGCCAACCAGAAGTAGACTAATGAGAATGTCAGTTAATGACTATCAGAAGCGACCTAAAGGACAAGTGCATTACATTGGTTAAGAAATGAATCAATTTCCTATATATATATATATATATATATATATATATATATATATATATATATATATATATATATATATATATATATATATATATATATATATATATATGAGTAATATTGCATTTTATGTGGTAGCCCAAATACACTTTCTTGCTCACTCTTGGGTCCTCGCTCAAGTAGTCAGTTGGGGGTGGGGTAGTAACAGATTTGGACACCACTTGTCATAAGTGTACAATTCATCGATAGTTATGTAGGTAGTTTGATTCTTTATAGTAATTCAAGGACGTTGAAAATGTTGTTAAGATACATGAGATAAAAAGCTTTAACTTTGGCAGCTAAATATGTCTTTGAGATATTTTACCAAGTATGAACTTACAAATTCTGTCTTAGAACAATTCCATCACTAACAAGTATAGAATTAAAAGGAATTTATATAGTTTGTTTTTTATGACTGCGAATACATATCTCTCGCCGTCAGTTCATTCTGCTCCTAGAAAACCACTTGCT